AAATTCGACAGAAATCCAGCCCTTTCTCGACAGAGTGGGGCAGTAAAGGGTAAATAGTGCCAGAAAACTTTTTACGTCTCTTTGACGAGAGAGGGCAAAAGCGACTCACTAGGCACAAGTTTCCTATTCCTTTCTTTTTTTCCTACTTTTTCCCTTCTCATTTCTGATCAGCACTTTACTCCTCATGCCTCAGTATCTGATGATTTCCGAATTCTAACGCGGCTTTTGACAAACTAGAGGCTACTGCAGATGCCACCAAATCACAGTACATAGGGGATGGTTAAGCAATCCTATAGTGTACTACAAACGCTAGAGTAATGGGAAGTATGGAAACTCCACCAAGACTTCAATAGAAGGACTTCCCCATTTGCTCACAGAAGTATGGAAACTCCACCAAGACTTCAATAGAAGGACTTCCCCATTTGCTCACCGATTCCTAACTGATTCTCTAACCTTGCGAAATGAATGTAGTGCTTAACTAGTCGCTGAGTCACACGCCTTCCAGGTATACAGCCTGTCACCCCCTAGCTGTAGAGACAAATTGAATTAATATTCAATCAAGATGCTCTCCTTATCGAAATACGGTGAATGACACTGACTTCTGCGATTGCCTGCTTTATCAATGGGAGCCCGAGAGTGTTCGTTGAAGGCGCCATCGCTGAGCATTCCGAATCCTCTGATGACATGGATCTGAAGTCTGTCATCTTTGAAATCTTCCACTAGAAATAGTTTTCTGCCGGAAACGACAGTCATTCGCATGGCTTTTTTCTTTGCTCTCGGAAAGAAAAAACGATTATAGCAAAGCGAAAATTTCCAAATTTTATAGGGGCCACCATTCTATGTCGTTGTCCCTTTATCTAGAGCAGCCGAAGCCATTTGACGATGGGACTGAAGCAGGGAGGAGGAGTTTGACAGGCAGTGAGAACGAGCTAGTCTAAAGGTGCAGCATTCAATTCCAGACTCTCAAGGGAACAGCATCAAATGGCTGCCGAATAAATCGAGAATCCTCTGGCTCTCCCTTCTATGACCTTTAGCACCTCTGCTCCGAACCCTCCCACAGGGACTGCTCTGAAAAAGAATTACAATTCTTCAACTTACTTATCTACAATTCTTCAACTTACTTATCTACCTAATAGGGGGTTGCACCACTACCTCACTCGAAAAACTTTTGCTCGTGGCGCTTCTTTTCAGGGAGGGTGGTGTCGAACTGCATTGGAATACAATATATACCACTCCCAAACTGCTCCACCCGTCCCTCATGCCACACCTGAATGACCTGGGAGAATAGGATTGAATATCAGATATAATATTGTAATGTTTTGAAGTATGACCTTTGAATAACTCACTTTTTGCGCTTGTCTTTCAGGTTCATACCGAGATTAGCTAGCCAAATATTTTCGCGGTCCTTGTTCATCACTGGATCGACACACGCCACCAGTCCTCCTGATCTGAAAATAAGAAGGTCTTGCACTTAACATCTCTGGGCTGAATTACCTGGCACTTCGCATTACTTTATGTCTGGTATCTTTTTCCAAGAGCAGCAACCTATCAATTCCAAATCTATCAAGGAAGAGGAAGGTTGCTCATTACTACATGGAAATTGCTTATCGGAGGTTTTGGATTTCTGCAAAAATGGCATTGCAGAAGGGTTTTTATCGCGCTGCGATTCTTTTCACTCTTCAAAATCATGGAATAAAGATGGTCGATAGAGTTGGAGGGATGTTGGATAGATGGGACATTTTCTGAGATGTTCTAGCTAAAGTTGGGGGAGGTTGGGTTGCAGATGAAGAGCAGAATGTTTAGAAATGGAGACAGAGGTTCTGGTAGAAGAATGAATGAGTGTTAAACTTAGAAAAGAAGGTCTTGAAAGTTTGCTAAGGTTAACTAGAAAGACGCAGATGGATAAGCCGTTCATGGAAGAAAGACAATATGGATGGATAGGGAAGAGAGCAAAAAAAAAATCAAAAACTTTCAGAAAGTAAGAGAAAAGGGAGCTACAGAGACAGAAGTGAAAGAGAAAAAATCAACAAGGAGGAATTGACAAAAGCGGCAACTACAAAAATGAATAAAATAAAAGTTGAAAATAAATAAATAAATAAAAGTTAAAAGTTGAGGTAAGTTGAAAAATTATCATCATTTTAAAGAGATTATTAAGGGAACAGCGATGTATAGGAAAAATCGAACTAATCGAAATGTTGTCTCTTCGGAAATTTTCAAGGACAACAATCCAAGCTATACTTTTCGAGGGAAATCAAAAATATCTGTAGATAATCTCTCTCAAACAGCTCAGGCAAGCACTTCTAGCGATGGCCCCTGTTGAAACATGAGTATTACCTACGAGCTTGCTAAGATGGCGAATAGAAAAGTAAAAGAGTGGAAGGGTTACTTACCCTTGTTTGATTTCCCAATCCCCAGTCTTTTCTCGTTTCAGCGATACTGGTGGTGCATTAGAGACGTTGATTACTCGTTGCTGTAAATATTAAAAGAAGGTCGGACGGAATAAGGGCAAGGACTACCTGCCGCGGTTTGAGTTGAGGGTAGCACACATTCGCCTAATGTGTTGTTTTAGTCTTCCTAATCAAACCTGTTGAGTTTGGGCTTAAGATCCTTTTTTGTTTTGTTTTTGTTTTTTGATCTGTTTTGGATCTGATTTTTGAGTCACACAGTATGATCTCAAAGACACCCAACTAGCGAGGAAGCACTTAATTTTCTTGAGGAACTCGTCAACTTTCATGATGGTTTCCGTCCCATTTTCCTTGCTTTTGGTAGGATATTTTTAAAATTAACTGTCTGAAGACCAGAGTGAAGTTTGATGAAGTTGGATCCCATAATCCACTGTTCCCGATCCCGAAATCGGCTTTTACTGGAAATACGGACTCGGCTGTTATTAAAGCGAAAATTAGAATGTTGCTCATGGTGCACTTCACGTGGCATGTGTACTACGTTGTGGGAAGGATCCAGATATACGACAGTCCAAAATTTTTCCGGAGTTCTCTGAAAGCTTACATAGAACTCGCTCTCTACTCACTTATGCTCGCATAACTTATCAGGAGATTTCATGCCGTCGCACACAGTTCAGACCATAGTTCATTTCCGATCTTTTCGTTTCAGGCTGTGAAGCTCAAAAGGATGTAGGCAATAGACCACTCAGAAAAGGTTCCCCAAGTTTTAAATGGCTTTCAGCAGCGGAATTCCGGATTTGATTCATTAAAAAAGTACGCGTTGAGGATGGCTGAGCAATTCGGTCAAATCATGCACACAGCGATCATTTTACGTTAAAAACCACTCACCTGGAAGTGCGTGTTTGCAATTCCTCCCGTAGGTACCCGTGGCTCATCATCATCTTCCTCATCTGAATGCGGTGCAGAGCTACCCCTTGACCTTGTTCGATAATCTTAAGAGTATGGAAAATTTCGGAAAATAAAAAGCGTGATCAATCAGAAGCACTGAACCTACACAGGTTACTTGCAATGAGAATGAGAACAGCGCATTCCAAACTTCATGGAAACCTTTCAGTACAATCTTTCAAAGTCGTGTGACTAGTTAGCATGGCCAGGGCGCTCATTACCGGTAATACACCATACTAGAGTACTTGAAAAGCCAGGTTTATGTGAATTGCATGCTGCGCTCCTTCAACATGATATGTGAACTATAAGGTTGATGTAAAAATCTTCAGACACTCGCATGTGCCTTTTGAACTCTTCCACGAATTTGTTTGGTCAAGTCATACCATCACCATCGTTATCGGGTATGGGTACCTCCCCTGAAATCGCGTCGCGGTTGCGCACCCGATCGCGGGTCATGAATGCAAAGACTGAATTCTGAACGGAGCGGTACGGTAATCGCCGCTGAGCCAGTGCCGCTTTCTGTGGGAATTTGGGGAGGAGTACCACCTCTCACTCTACCATTTAGCAACAGAGCGGCAAGTCAGTTAGTTCTTGTTCCTAGAAAAACGAGAACTGTGAACCGAAGAAATAAGTCAGTGCTTTTTTTAGGTTATCAGAATTGGCGAGATTCTTCTTGGCTGACAACTGCTTCAGCTGCCTCAAAAGATGGTGTTCAGAAGGGGCGAGGTAAACGGATTGGAAGTGTGAGGGAACGCATATCAGCCATCTTTCTATAATCCCGATTGCGTCGTCTTTGTGACGGGAAAGTAAGCGGTATCATGTAGACGATGTACAGAACCTTCCTCGGTCGCGTTACCCCGACTGAGCGTCTTCTTGGAGTTAACCGGTGAAGATGATAGCCTGCCTAGCCGTAATGGAAAAACTAGTGGTATAGCGTTCTTGTCGAGCCCTAAGGGCTGCACAGCAAAACCTTTCTTTGGTGCTATCCTAGGTTAGGGTATACGTGTGGATCTCCTTTTTCTGGGAAAAAGGCCTTTCTGTTGTTGTTATTGAGGATCCAGCTCCTCTCTCTTGCCACCGAAGTTTTGTGCAGAAACTTCTTTGGGTTTGGGGAGCGACTAGCTGATTGGTAAGCCGGTAAGAAGTCATTGGACAGAGCTTCTTCTCAATCGAAAGGAACAGGTCGCCTGAAAGGGATAGTCGTCGGGCTCCGCATGTGCAGAGTGAAAGCAAGCGCATAACAACTGATGGGCGCATGGCTGGCGTGGTTGCCTCCCACGGCAGTGTTCATGTTGGAGGCAGAGGATTTGTAGGAGACCACCACTTAAGGGCATAGTTCACGATAACTTTGTGGTACCCGTTTTTATTCAAAAGCGGAAGTATGAATTGGGAATAGTTCATCGGTAGTTAAGGAAGCGAGAGAATTCGCCGATTTCGAGAAAAATATGGCTCCTCAAAAGTAGGGAAAATAAAGGTTGGACGAGATTGCCATAACGGGAATAACATTGAAGGGGTATTTGGACGAAATTTCAGTCATTCCAATTGCACAAAGAGCTGACTACATCAAGCCAGAACTGTAGAGAACTGTCTTTCACTGCCGCCATGGGTCATGACAGGTTGCTTGCACTTCCTACATGGGTTTTCTTGTGTACGGTGCAACCTCTACAATGCCGGTGAAACTCGTCCGAGGATACACGGGCCACTCTTTGAGCTTACCTAACTCCCTAAAAAGGCCGACTTCCGGCCTAATAGTGCCAGATATGGTATACGCAGGGGCCTCAAATCCATACTGTGAGGGAATCTCAAAAACCATTTTTATCATGAACCGTGCCTTTAAACGTAGTCTTTCGACGATCGCCGTAATTTAGTTCAAAAGAGAAGCGCTGAACGCGACTTATTTGAATATTTCTAGTGGCTACCCTGAGATTGTTTTGGTGGCGATGGTCCAAGAGATTTGTTTCTCAAGATTTTCACATCAGCCTAACATTAGTTCGAACATACCCCCCTGTAGTCCATCTGCAGCGGAAACGGACGAATGATAACTGTGTGGATGGCGCTTTTAAACTTTTCGATGAAATTGGCATTGCATACTAACTGACAGTAAGGGAACACCTACTTTGTTCGTCATCTTTTCCATCAGAGTCAATGCTCTCCATGCTGCCCATAGACGAATGTCGAGAAATCTTCTTTTGGAGATGATGGAACTTCTCACCGAACTGTTTAGCGTTGACGCCCAACAATGACTTTCGGATGCCGGGAACTGCTGCATAGAGCTCTCTGAAAGCATATGTTGTCTATTCATTATGACTGTAATGGCCACAGTTACCTTCTTCATCACTATTCATGTGTCAAGTTTGTTGTCATATCAGTGAGCAATAGCTCACTTACATGTCAACTACATCGGAGAAATCAGTAAATTTTGCCTACTACGAGACGGTGATTTTGGGTTACCTGGATGATCAAGGGTGCTCTGTACCAATGCAAAATACTTGTTTGCCCAACATAGATTCACGACAGACAAATCCTTGCCTACGCCATGGGCCACCATCTAATAAAAAAAGGAGAAAGTTTTTGGCGTTAATCAATCCCGTCTGAGGGATGCGCCCCCGCACTCGACTTCCATTCAGAATCGTAGTGACGTAATGAGTGCGTATGGCCAGCCTATGTACAAGTCAGTGCTTTGATCCTCCCAGACGACTCTGGTACCAGTTCACCGACCCGGGGGGGGGGGGGGGGGG